CAAGTACATGTTTCGAAACATGTACTTGTACAGAGATATTTTGAAGTGGAAGCTGTATGGCTTCAATAAAGTTTTTATTGTGAAAATATAAAACGTTGTTTTTAATTATTTATTATGATTTAAAAAAAATTTAAACACAAGTGCCGGTAGTGCATATTCAGATTTATATACTTGTTGTAACAGAATTATATTTTTTATAAACATTAAAATAAACAAGCTTACAACTGATTTGTTTCATGTTCTACAATTCTACAGAACAACCTGCTCAATTTTTCTGATGAAACTCATATTTGTATGATAGGTATTTTTTAATTAATAATCTATAAAATATAAATAGGTTAATTTTAATCTTGTTATTTATCCGGTTTCTTTTTCTTCAACTCGTGTTACATTGCATATTGTAATGTTGACCTCCAGTTTTCCCATGGTTTCAATCTTAATTGCATTAATTTTAATCTTGTTATTTATCCAGTTTCTTTTTCTTCAACTCGTGTTACATTGCATATTGTAATGTTGACCTCCAGTTTTCCCATGGCTTCAATAATAATTGCTTCCTTAGCTTTATCTCTGTGTATTTTTTTCCTTAGAGATAACACTTATCCGAACAGTTGTGGACGTAGATATAGTGTTCCTGTAAATGTACTTTCTGTGATTTCAGTATCAATAGGCAAGTCTACTTAAAATATATCAAAAATGGGGTAGTCACATCAATTAGTTTGTTTAATCAGTGTTTCTGAATTGATTATTATGGCACTATCACCACTATTCCTTAATTATTGTACCTGTGTCCTGGAAATAATTTTAGGGCGATCTGCTAAAGATTTTACTTTTTTTTTAACCTTGGTTTCTGTTTTCGTTTGTGTTCAATAATGTATTGTTCTTGTTGAATACAATAAAGTCAATTTCTCAAAAATATCATACAACTTTTCTTACAGAGATGTTTAGTAGCTATTTAAAAATATTAAATCTATAAATGAAAGCTGCAACTTATTGTCTTAAGTAACATTTTTTTTTTTTTACTTAGTCATAATTGAAGATACAAACAAAGAAATAATAGTTGTGTCAGCAAACAGACCACATAACCCCACTTGGTTATCACCTTTTGAAAATCCAGTAAATAAAGCTGACACTACAAAGAAACCACCCCTTCCTCCAAAAGAAGAACAAGTAAGTGGAAATGCTATACTTTTTTACTCATCTTTCATTATAGAGAAAGTGCACTTCAAACACCTTCGTGTACATTATGCAAAACTATTTCCAATGTTAATTCCTTTATAACAAACAATAAAACAATATAATGAAACAATATTATAATACTGTCAAAAATTGCACAGTGTAGTTAAACCACTAATGTGAAATATAATAATCATTTGGTCCTTTTATTGTATATTTTGAAAATAATTTGTTTTATTCAACATTGACTTTTTCTCAGTGCTCAGAAAGTTATTACAAGGTTAAGATTTATATTTATACTAGTTCAGTTACCTGGCATTGCACGGTGAAAATTTAGATTTGAAATGTATAGATCGGTATTTTTTTCAGCAAATTATTCAGTAAGTAGACAAAGTTTTGATGTGAGAAATAAAAGGCATTTAAT